CTCGCCCAGGAAGTAAGGCATCTGTGGAGGATGGAAAGGGTGCTTATTGTACCTGTTGTTCTCTCCTGTACAGGTGTGATACCACACACACTACACAAAAGCCTGGGAACATTACAATTGAATAGAAATACATACATCACACTACAGAAGGCCACTATATTGAATACATGCCACATTGTTAGGAAATTCCTGAATACTGACACTGACACTGACACTGACACAGACACACTTATTTAATTTTAGTTTTGTTTTGGTTGCTATGCCTTGACTCTGGTCCGGCATAGTACACAGCCACCGGTTTAACCGAGTATAACCCACTGAACCCAACATAATAATAATAATAATAATAATAGACATTTGATAAGCATTAATGAAGTAATTACCTGAGCAAATAAGTATTAGAAATTATAAAAAATAAATACAGTACATATTAAAGCCAAATGATTATCAAATTAAATCAGGCTACATTTCTGCTACTGATGATTATTAAATACTGAGTAATTTGGCACTAGAGATAGGCATTAGGCATAAACTCTTATTGAATTTTAATTTAATAATTATAATTAAATTAATTTTTATTGAATAATTTTATTTATGCATCTGCAATGTATAAATTTTATATGCTTAAATTCAAATATAAGCAAAGATTATTTAATTATATTTAAAATTTATGTTTTAAAAATAAAAGATGTTTAGTAAGAATAAACATATATATTCTGCTGTTTATTCTTAAATTATATATATAATTTTAACTTCATTTACATTTGTTTTTATATTTTTAAGGAAGATGATGGAATATACTGTTATTACATTAAAAAAGACAAGCTTTATTTTATGATGATTACTAAAACTAAAATGTTTGAATTGACAGCTGTGGAATTCTTAGATAAGTAAGAACTATAATAATTCATTAAATATTTATATACATAGAGCATTTTTTTAAAGTTTTAATCTTATATCCTACTTTTATATAATTTGTTACAGATTTTATTGTCTGCTAGGAGACTTTTGTGGACTGATAACAGAAGACACGGTTTGCAAGAATCAAGCTTTAATTTTTGAACTGATGACTGAAATAATTGTAAATATGTAACTTATTACATTTGTTTTTTAACTATATATAACAAATTTATAAAACAGCTATTTTTAAAACTGTTTTGTTAATGACCTAGCAAAGTGATTCACCAATCAACATAAATAGCCTACAAATTCTTTAATCATAAAAAATATTAGTCATAGCAAAATATATATTTTTACACTCATCTTATTTTTATCAGTTCATGAAAGCTACAAAAGTTTAATATTAATCAAAACAATTTTGATTTCGCAAATTACTCAAACATTTGTATTCGTATTGTAATCAGGAGAAATGTGTAATATAAATATGAAATTAAATAACATATTATTAGATATATAAATAATAAAGCATTAGTCATAATATATTAAATATGAATTTTCAATTTTATTAGAATGGCTGATTAGAAATAAATGCATATATAATAATAAGATTTATATATCAAAATAAAATTTATATTAATTTTACTTGATTTTAAAAGGATTTTGGTCATATTCAAACTACTAGCCTTAATCAGTTACGGCATTTTATCTACAGTGATCCAGTTGTAATAAGAAAATCATTGGAAAGAAACATTGCAAGAAAATCTGGCCCAGTAATTATTACAGTTTTATATATATTATATTACAGTAAGATAGAATTACAGTTTCAATAATTAAAACTTTAAAAATTTGATTAGTTTCAATATAAGCTTTGATCTTTATTATCAATTAATTTGCAATAAATAACTGTAGACCTCATTGGCTTTTCCATTATAATTACAGATCATTCACATACCTTTTCAACTTTTTATTCAATCAATGCAAAATTTTTCAGAATGCATTTCAGCTTGTTCAAAAGCCCTCTTCAGTTGGATAACATATATATACATTCGACACTATGGTTTAAATAAACATCTATAAAAGAATCTGACAATCCGACAAATGATGAATCTGTAATTATAACGGAAAAGCCAATGTAATTTTTTGCAATTTATTGCAAATTAATTTGAATAGTTTGTTATTTATTAAAAAATGTTTTTTGTTTTAATTGTGAAAATATACTTTGAATGAAAATACTTGATATTATTCCAAAAATAATTTTAAAATTTATTTAAAAATCTTATAAAATTACTTTGTAAATAGAGAATTAATTTCATAATTTTTTCCTTTGTGTACTGATAATGACTAGAATTTTATTATTATTATTCCTATTTTCTACTGAAAATAATTTGATTATTTTATTAAGTGACTGTTATAATGGAAAGAAAGATATTTTTAAAATCTTAGAACACAAGTATTAGTTTGTAAAGCTTGGTATAAAAAGTTGCTTTTTAAACTAATTTTATTTGATTTTCATTGTATACAATATTGTCTTATACCACAATTTATGGTATTTTTTACATATTGCTTTATGTCAAATTATTTATAAAAATTACTATTAATTAANAATTTAATTAGAACAGAGAAATAAAGAATTATTTTTATCAGCTGATGTTGGGCTGCAATTTTCAAAAATTTCAGACCAATAAATTCTTACTGGCATCTGCTGTCTGTCCTTTCATAATTTCAAGAACAGAGTTAAATGAAAGTTAAGACCAGATGTGGAAAGCTTGGGACAGGAGCTCCGATTAACTGTATATGAACTTCTGGTTTGGACCTGAATTTCATATTATTTCAATTCAATAATTTTTTCTTGAAGAGTTAGATAGATGACTGGCATGACTCCACTGTTAACAGGAAAAGTATGATGTACAGGGGCAAGAAACTACTAAAATTGAGAGCATTCTGATGTAAAATTGCAGCCAGGCATTTTGGTGATGTCACAATATATAATTGCTTGTTGGATATTAACTTGTTCTGTATACAATATTGTCTTATACCACAATTTATGGTATTTTTTACATATTGCTTTATGTCAAATTATTTATAAAAATTACTATTAATTAAAATTTTAAATAGTGCTTACTGCCAAAAGATCATTATTACTTTACTGAAAAAATATCCCAAAACTTGTTTTTTTTAGTTTTTAATCATAGGATGTCAGATAATTTGTTATAGTAAAAATACAAATGATATTTTTATAGTAAGGATTGTTTTACAGTAAAAAAATGAACTACTAAATATTATGAGCACTTTATTTTTTCTCAGATTCTACATACTTTTGGCTACTTTTTCACATAGTTTCTGTTGTTGTTTAAACATTTATCATAACATGAAACCAGTTTCTGTAGACCTGGATCATAGAGAATTCTGTAGACCCCATCTGAGAGGATAACCATTCCTGCACCATTGTTTTCACTTTGTCAGTTTGGAAGTGCTTGCTGGCAACGAACTTTTTTTATATGTAGGAAGACGTGTAGTCTGTCAGTGCCAGGTCTGGGCTGTATGGAGGGATGATTCAATTGCTGCCACCCAAAAGATTTGGACAGGAAGCCAATAACAGACCTTATTTCACAGGTGGTTAGCTGCTTAATATTAAACATTTCCATCACACAACATGAAAAGCACATGCTGACAATGTGATTCAAAATGGCGTCCATTTGTGTTCATGGGATGCCAGGAGACACTGTGCATGTGCAAAATTACAAACAGGCATGTTTTAAAAGGATATCGACAAACAATTCTTACTTAAAAAAATCCCTTGTAAAATTTTATTTTTTTATTTTTCCTAAATTACGTTTTGAGCGATATTTGATATTTTTATCAAAAGCTTTCATAACAATAATTAATTATACAACTGCAGTCTGTTGTAAAAAGTTTAAATTTTATAAGAACGTGTACATGATTAATGAAGTTAGTAATTATTATATAATTATTCTATTTATTATGTAATTTGGTCTGCTTATAGAAATTAAAACATATTAAAACACATTTTGAATTTTTGTACTAACTTTATAAATAATTTAATGTATATGATCTTTATGGTTTATAGCAGAATAAAACTTTTTGCAAGTTTTAGAGGAATAAATTTAACTATATTCTTACAGTAATAATTTTTTTAATAGTTTGGACTAGAACAAATTTCTACTAGTAGTAATGCATCCAATAGACCATTAGTGAAGTCAAGATCTCATCAAGTAAATAGTTCTTTTTCTTATCTTAAATTATAGTAAATAATACAGTAGAGCATCGATTATCCGACTCAATTGGGGACTCAGGTTGGTCGGATAACTGAAAAATCAGATAACCGAAAAGAAGGAAAAAAATACATTATTAGTATAGTATATTAGGATATTAGTATATCTCATGTAATTAGTTTATTAGTATATCGCTATTAACCAACTTTGCGTTGAATTTTCATCAATGTTTAGCCTAACAAAATTTTTTTTTAAATAATAATCTTCGCTATTGTATCGTTAAAAATTATTTTAAAATTATTTTATTGCTCACAAAACAAACAACCACTCATAATTNCAAAATTTTTTTTTAAATAATAATCTTCGCTATTGTATCGTTAAAAATTATTTTAAAATTATTTTATTGCTCACAAAACAAACAACCACTCATAATTAGAAAATTAAGTCTCGTTTAAATATTGGCCTCCCTTCAATGGTCGAGCTGTTGATGCCAACTAAAACACGCAAATATTTAACAAAAATAATATTAAAGTAGCCAAGATATAGCCAAATATTGTAATGCCACATCACTAGCGGACATTTGAAATTTGCCGACTAGAACGGTCTGTTAACTGATGTGACGGTTAATCAGGGGTCGGATAATCGATGCTCTACTGTAATTTAAATTGAGATACAGTAATACCTCGGTTTTTGTTGACTTCGGTTATTGTCGGTTTCAGTATTCATTGATTTTTTTCGCAAAAAGTCTTGGTTTTTGTCGAATGCCTCGGATTTTGTTGGTGTGCCTCACTGCTAATTTTGTAAAAACAAAAGGCAACCCATGTGTTTTCCAGCTCAGTGTGGCATTATTTCTCATTCTGTGAGCATTATCTCGCGACGGCCCACCATTGGCCAATATTTTCATTCCCTGAACACTGGGAGTTTGGTCATGCATTCACACTTCGCCAGGATGGGCTGGTCATGTGGAGTTTTCTGGGTTTTCTCCATGTCTGTAACGCCTGAATAGGAGCCAGTTACCCTTAAACAGACCTCTCGGAAGGCATTATTTCCTGTGGTATGACCATCATAAATGCATACAACTATTATCACATGACAATCACACTTTACCACGGGAGGATATAGACTAGAAGCTCATGTCCAACTAACTTCTACAAGACAAGACATTACCCTGCATCTAGCCAAACAATTCCATTGCTTTCCTTTAGATTAGTTTGTTTTTATATTAATTTTTTATTGCTTTTAGTATTTAACACTATATTAATTCTGTATAAAATGTGTTTTTGGTATGTATTTTGGACTGTCTAGAACAAATTAATTGGATTTACATTGATTCGTATGGAAATAATTGCCTCAGTTTTCGTCAGTTTCGGATTTCATTGATTGTTTTCGGACAAATTAGCACCGAAAACCGAGGTATCACTGTAGTACATAAATGTAATTTAATTATATTATTCAATTAAATATTATTCAGTCTACATAATAATGTCATACATAATAATTAATTCATAAAAATGAAACACATTTATAAAACAGATTTTATTAAATCAAAAACATAACATTTAGTATATTTATATCTAAATTTTAAAAATATTTTTAATAATTTATACATAAGATCACTAGGAATTTCTTTAAACCTAACTATATTTAGTAAAGGATTTTATATTTAAATTAAAATTTAAAAATTTGCCAGGATGAATTCACATATAGAAAAATATATTTCCTTTTGGACTATACATATAATTGAGTCCATCTTCATTTGTCCCTTCACACGCTTTACAGTGGCAATAACAAATTTATGGCGATACCAACCTTTTATTTGAGGCTACATGTTTGCCGTTCAATGTAAATGAGTTAAAAAGTCCTCTAGCGGTGGCCAGCACTATTATTAAATAAAGTTTAAATAAAGAAAAATTATTTAATTATTTATTTAAGTTTAAATAAATAAAATAAAGATTTTATATTTAAATTAATTCATTATATTAAATTTAATTAGAACAGAGAAATAAAGAATTATTTTTATCAGCTGATGTTGGGCTGCAATTTTCAAAAATTTCAGACCAATAAATTCTTACTGGCATCTGCTGTCTGTCCTTTCATAATTTCAAGAACAGAGTTAAATGAAAGTTAAGACCAGATGTGGAAAGCTTGGGACAGGAGCTCCGATTAACTGTATATGAACTTCTGGTTTGGACCTGAATTTCATATTATTTCAATTCAATAATTTTTTCTTGAAGAGTTAGATAGATGACTGGCATGACTCCACTGTTAACAGGAAAAGTATGATGTACAGGGGCAAGAAACTACTAAAATTGAGAGCATTCTGATGTAAAATTGCAGCCAGGCATTTTGGTGATGTCACAATATATAATTGCTTGTTGGATATTAACTTGTTCCGTGTTGTTCCCAAATATTTTCGTGTTGACCTCATTTGACCTAACCTGTCGACTCTGAACATATTCATTTAAAATATAATTTTTTTGTTTTTATATTTATCAATATATTTATTTTGTTTGTGGAAAATAAAAAAATAATTTTTAATGATACAGTAGCCAAGATTATTATTTTTAAAAAAATTTTTTTATTAGGCTTAACATCAACAAAAATTCAACATGGTGGCAACAGAGAGAAATTTCAACATGGGATAGGTTGCTGACAATGTGATTCAAAATGGCGTCCATTTGTGTTCATGGGATGCCAGGAGACACTGTGCATGTGCAAAATTACAAACAGGCATGTTTTAAAAGGATATCGACAAACAATTCTTACTTAAAAAAATCCCTTGTAAAATTTTATTTTTTTATTTTTCCTAAATTACGTTTTGAGCGATATTTGATATTTTTATCAAAAGCTTTCATAACAATAATTAATTATACAACTGCAGTCTGTTGTAAAAAGTTTAAATTTTATAAGAACGTGTACATGATTAATGAAGTTAGTAATTATTATATAATTATTCTATTTATTATGTAATTTGGTCTGCTTATAGAAATTAAAACATATTAAAACACATTTTGAATTTTTGTACTAACTTTATAAATAATTTAATGTATATGATCTTTATGGTTTATAGCAGAATAAAACTTTTTGCAAGTTTTAGAGGAATAAATTTAACTATATTCTTACAGTAATAATTTTTTTAATAGTTTGGACTAGAACAAATTTCTACTAGTAGTAATGCATCCAATAGACCATTAGTGAAGTCAAGATCTCATCAAGTAAATAGTTCTTTTTCTTATCTTAAATTATAGTAAATAATACAGTAGAGCATCGATTATCCGACTCAATTGGGGACTCAGGTTGGTCGGATAACTGAAAAATCAGATAACCGAAAAGAAGGAAAAAAATACATTATTAGTATAGTATATTAGGATATTAGTATATCTCATGTAATTAGTTTATTAGTATATCGCTATTAACCAACTTTGCGTTGAATTTTCATCAATGTTTAGCCTAACAAATTTTTTTTTTTTTAAATAATAATCGTTGCTATTGTATTGTTAAAAATTATTTTAAAATTATTTTATTGCTCACGAAACAAACAACCACTCATAATTAGAAAATTAAGTTTTGTTTAAATATTGGCCTCCCTTCAATGGTCGAGCCGTTGATGCCAGCTAAAACACACAAATATTTAACAAAAATAATATTTAAGTAGCCAAGATATAGCCAAATATTGTAATGCCACATCACTAGCGGACATTTGAAATTTGCCAACTAGAACGGTCAGTTAACCGATGTGATGGTTAATTGACCGTTCACGG